TACGCGCGACAATATATCTATCGGTGAAAAAAAAAAGGACAGGGAAAGTAGTTTGCGTTATAGTCACTTGCTAAAATTTTGCATCAGAAAATCTCGGAAAGGAGCGATCGCCTCTCAATTTGAAATCAAGACAAGAAAATGATGTCCGCGCAGAGGAACATGTCACGCTGTTTTTCTCTGATTTTCTATGCCGTGTACTACTCCCTAATAAGTTTAAAAAAATGCAATCATCATCGTTTCGAGTAGTCAAACAATTTTAAGGATGATCGAATCTAAAACTACTGTAGTAATATCTATGATATTGAATAAAATTTATTTGAAAATGTGAAATATGTTTTTATAGTAAATCTATCTGAAAAAAATGAATCTTGATATTTCTTTTATAAACTTGGTCGATATTTTTTTAAAAAAAATAGCTCGTTCTAAATCTAGAATTGTGTTCTTTTGGGAATGGATGGAGTATTTATTAATAAACTCCCGTCGAAACCGAGATTATATAGCCTGTGCTGGAGGAGAAGGGGTTTATTTTTATTTAGATCGTCTAGACTAGATGGTGCTAGAGAGTGATCTCCACAGACCGCAGCTGGTACGGCGCATGTAGCGTTGGCGAATTGGTCATTGCGTCGCGTCTGCTATAGAGCTCCGCAGCTCTTCTCTTCTTGGCTACAGATCGGCAGGCGGTTTCCTCCGATCCAAGCGTAAACCTCTTGGCTCTTGCGTACGTGACGCATGATCTGAACTCGGAGGCCGCGTGCGGCGACGAACAAAGCAAACCGGCGGGCGACGCAACTGATCAAGAACACTGTACACTGCTAGGAGCCTCTAGCTAGGACAGGCGCGCCGCGCCATCGTTTTAGGGTCGCGTGACGGGTCCGCGTCTGGCATTAACCCCCGGGCTTAGCCTTCGCCACCACCACACTAATAACCTGCAGGCTTCCTAATCACGCCGCCGGCCGGCCGGCCCCGGGGCCCCGGCCCCGTCCCACCACTAGATTAATGGCTGTGGCCGGGAGCCATGCAGTCGGATCTCTCTCGTGAGCGGCCACTGTTAGCTAGGTCCTAGTCCTAGCCCTAATGGCCTGTGAAAGGTGAGTGCAAGCTGAAGTGGTACAGTGGTACACCGCCGCTTGACCGCTTCGGTCGACCTCGACGATGACGACGACGACATCTTTCGGAAAAAAAGAAGACTTCGACAACGACGACGACGCTCTGCCGGCCGGCCGCCTGCGCAGCTGAGGGACGACGGAGACGATCAACATGGTGATGCAGCACCATGGCATCTGGAAGCACCAGCTTGGGAGTTGGGACATGCATGAGCGACGTAACGAGGGTTAATTACTTGTTGGTGCAGCACGCTGCACGTACGCAGGGCCAGGGAAAACGACTCCAACTTTATTTATTTGCTTGATTCCTTTGTGTATATTGTAGAGATCGATATGCCTAGATCCACATCCTCGACTGAGTTTTAAGCATCTGAGATCGATCCCCCTCGAAGGAAAGGGTGAGCTTCCATTTGAATGAACAATATCGATCTACTCTGCTTCTTTACTACTCCCTCTGTAAAAAAAAGAGAGAGACAATTCTCGCTTGTTGAGTAATCAAACAATTCTCAGTTGGATCAAATTTATAAAAAAAAATTTAGATATCGAATAAGTATTACCAAATTAAATATAATATATATCTAATAAATCTATTTGGACGTGTAACTGTAGTTAAGCTTAATTAAGAAAGATTGATTTGGTTCAAACCTAAAATTACTTCATCTTTTCTTTAACAAACGGAGTATGTGGTTGTGCGGAGGAAACTGGAATTGGATGGTGGTTTATACGTACGTTGGGTATGCACCATCTCTTAGTCAAGCAGTCTAATCACCTCTGATCAGCTTCGTATTGCAATACGTCGTCAGGCAACTAATAACAGTAGGTCAAGGACCAGTACGTGCCAGTAGCTAGTAGGCGCCTGCTTACGTACACAAAGCAGGCACGACGAGTAGTCATGGATCAGATAGGTAGAAAATCGGCATCGCTAGCAACTCAGATTAAAAACAAAAACAAAAAAGTAAGTAAAGAGGATTCTCTAACTCCACTTTTTCTTTTTCTTTTTTGTCACCAAGAACAAGAACAGCTGTCTCGTAATCCAAAATATATATCACCTGCTCGTGCTCTACAAGCAATACGTCAAACAAAACCTAAAAATATGCTGAATAAAATGGACTAATGGACTGTGCACAGTACACACACTTCACGGCTGACCGTCTACAAGTATAAAGCTGTCATCCAGCCCTGTGTTACATTACACTGCAGTAAACTGATGATTACCAGCAAATAAACAAGCCAGCCAAAGTTACCAATCGCTCACATATATAGCAGTATATTATACTGTACCAACTTAATCACTCTACGTACGTGTATACGTTAATACGTATGATATGCCGCTGAGTAGTGTTCATCAGAACGGGAGGTAGCTCCGGCGGAACACGGCGGCGTTGGCGAACAGCCCGACGAGGTCCTGCTTGTATGGCAGGAACGACCTCCGGCGCCGCGCGCCGCCGCCCTTATTATTATTGACGTAATAGCTCCAGGCGTGGGCACCACCACCTCCAGCGGAGCCGGCGCTGGCAGCACCCTCCACGGCGCCTCGCCCCTTCTGGTTCCGGCGCCCGAACGACCCGCCGGAGGAGGCGGTGCTTAAGAAGACGAACTTCTCCTTGCCGTCGCTCTGGCTACGCCCGACGACGGGCCGGGGCCGCCAGCGGAGCACGGACCCCGTGGAGCCGCTCTTCTTGCACCGCGCCGGGGAGGAGGACGCCGCCGCCGCCGCCGCGGCCGACAACCCGGGGGACCAGGGGCCGAACATCTCCGCCGGCACCGAGTCGAGGCCTTCGTCGTCGTCGACGTCGTCCGCGGGCGCTGGCGGCGGCGGATACCTGTCCACGAGCAGAAGCCGTCCTAGCGGCACCCGCGCGGTGGCCGTCTCTGGCTCCGGGGCCGGAGCAGCCCGCGGCGGGGACCTCGGCCGGCCGAAGACTGGGTACAGCAGCGGCGGGCCCATGCAACCGCCGCCGCTGCCTGCAGATAGTAGACGAGGAGGCGGCTGGGCGGCGGCGAAGGTGAAGTCGTCAACGCCACCGCCGTCGTCCATGACGATCCTGCTGCGCTCCCAAAGCATGCTCTGCTAGTGCTGCTCGCGTTCGGTCTCCGTGCTCGGACGACGACGACTCAGCGGCAGGCCACTGCCGCTTCCCATGTTCGGAAGGGTGCGGTGGCTGGACGCTCCTCGGCGCCGGGGGGCTCGCTTTTATACGCGGCGATTGGCGCTCGATCGCATCGAGACGCCCTGGATGCGATCAGCTGACGGGATAATCTTGACCGCTGAATCGCTGATCGCAGCATCGGGCATACGTTAACTTTCCGTGGGATGGACATGGACGTGGTTACGCGCTTTGGCTAGTGCGATCGAGAGTGCATCAACAACGCCAACGGAACGGATCTGGAAAAAAAGAATCGGCACGAAGTCGCTACGAGTACATATCGCACATCGCTGATTCACCGCACATGTCAATGCATAAACATTAAACGCGTAGGATTGTTACGTGAATTCAGAATAACAAATGACAAAGAAACAAAAAAAAATCTCTTTGTATGGACACGACGTAAATCTAAAAGAATTGTAACTCTCCATGGGATACACATGCCCGCCCAATTTTTCTCTTCATTCACGGAACCAGCGTCGGTTTGGATCAGGTTTTGAAGTGAGATGCCGACGTGGCCGCGGGTTAGTGCAGACGTGAAGTGGGACTGGGAGAGTGATGAACTGATGAACAGCCCATACCTCGTGGGCGGCACACAATGGGCGCCGCCAGCAGCCCACCTGCAGAACGCGCGGTGATGCCCTCGCACGACACCGAAAACGTGGTAAATACGGCGAACACTCTGTAAAATTATATTATACACAAGAGTACGCAAGTGCGCGCGCCACTGTTTGGGTCACCCTCTTCCTAGTTTTATTTTCAAATTCACAAATTGTTTTCCATATTTTACTGTTTCAGAAAATTAGTTTGGGGATTAATAACGGTCGTTAGTGAAACGGGTTTGGATGCTTGCAGCGAAACACCTTTTTTACTCCTTCACTTTCCCCATTGCGACACTCATTTCCAATTATTATTTTCTAATAAGAGTATAAAGCTCGCATTGACCTTTATCTAAAAAGGAAGATGATGACCATTTACTAGACTGGTATTTTATGGACCACCCGGCCGGCCCAGCCCATTATGACCCTGCCTCCCCACCATCCTGGGCTTCAGCAATCCCGCACCCAACTTTTTTTTCCTTGTTCCTACGTGTGTGGAAAACAGTTTGTCGTTATCGACTCCCGAACAATTCTTTAATTTTGCAAGCAGGCCTAAATAAGTAAAGAGCAAGTATTTCCTTTTGTAAAAACAAAACAATTTTATTCGTGTCTCTGTATAGATTACATACAACCATTTATTATTATTATAGTTCCAGCCTTCTAATCATTGCAAGTTGCCAGCAGCATAAGAAAAAAACTCAACGTAACTAATCAGGGGAAAAACGAGAAATTGTACTTCATAAGTTATGCCGATCGGAAATGTAAGTTATCTAAGCCTGTCCTAACTCCAAAGTCAAACTTATTATTTGATTTTGACTTACAATATCTATAATAATATATATTAGCTTAAATAAGAAAAATCATATACTATAAAACTGGTTTTCAAAGTGAGGTCAGAAACAATGTTCTTAATCTTGTGTTGTCAATCTATATGTAATTTTTTTTTGTATTGCTGGTTAAAGTTAAAAACAAAGTTAACTTCGTACAGGCCTAGACTGACTTATATATGTTTCGAATGGAAGAATTACTTGAAAACTCAAGTCAATTACATGAGCACAACCACATCAAATCTGTACCGAGAACGAGTTAAACAACTTAAAGGTAAACTAGTTACACCTAGTAAGACTGTAAAACAACATGGAAGTTGTGTTTCAGAACAGGTAGCAGCTCCGCCCGCACGTGACGACGCCTGCAACCAGCTCGACAAGATCCTGCTTGCATGGGAGGAACGACGTCGACGACGACTTGCCGCCGCCCCTGGATCCGCTCCTCCGGCAGCGAGCGGGGGACGCCCGCCGAGACGATCCTGTTGGCGCCGGCGGCCAAACACCGGGGGACCACAGGCAGTAGGTCTCCGCCGGCACACCGTCGAGCTCGGCGTCGGCGTAGTCGCACCACGGCTCCTCCACGAGGAGCCGCCCGAGCGGCACCCGCACGGTGCCCGTGCCAGCGGCGCCGGGGCCCTCCTCCTCCTCGTCCTGTTGCTGCTGCTGCTGCTCCTTCGGCGGCGCCCATCGTGGGCGGCCGAATACGGGGTACACGGGGACGCCGATCCGGGCATCTTGGAAGGCGCAGTCGGCGGCCTGCAGGCGCGGGACCGCGACGGCGACGGCGGCGAAGGTGAACCCGTCCTCCTCGTCCTCGTCACGGGCGGTGGCAGTGACAGTGGCACAGCTGCTGCTGGTGGTGGCCGGTGCAGCGGGAGGTGCGACAAGATCCAGGCGGGCGATGGCCGCGACGCCGCGGTGGTGGTCGCTTTCGGTGTCGGGCATGGCGGCCAGCTGGCTGGGCCGTCGTGGTCTGGTGGAGCAGAGCTCGTCGTGCGCCGCGAGCTGGCCGTGGCGCGCGGAAATAAAGGTCGGGTGGGCCGGCGGGGAAGGGGGAAACGGGCAAGGGCAAACGGCAGATGCACGCGCGAGCGGGCCAGCCGGCCAGGCCATGGGCGGTTGGCCAGGCCAATCGGCAGGTTGGTCCACTTGGCAGTGAGCGGAGGAAGCTGGAGTGGCTGCTGGGGGGCCTGGCGGGTGGCGATGACATGTGGCGGAGGCCGGCGATGGAGTGGGACAACTGGAATGCAGCCATGCAGGCAAGCTGGAGAGCAGCAAGGGAATACCGCCGATCCCAAGTGGAGTCACTGGAGTGCAGCAGGCCAGCAGTCGGAATGGATGCGAATGCGACTCGTCATGTGCCTTTTCTTATCCTTTTGCACGGTTCGTCTGTTCCTCGTAGGCCTTTTTGTACAGCTACACATCGTTCACCTACCACTGCCACTACCCACTCGGAGTGTTCGGTGTTGAAGTGGGACGTGGTCGATCAGGTCTTGCTTTGTAGCCGTCCTTCTCTCTCTGTGTTTGGCTATGGCTACACTCATTAATTATTATTATTAGATCCACACTTCAATCCATACCTATCGAAGGAAATTAGAATAAAAAATTAACTATTCATGTGTTGGAGTGGATTATGACAAAAATTAAATATTTTGTAATCTTAATTCATCTCAATATAAATAGATTGAAGTGGATACAGGATACAAGTGTTTTTTTAAAGATTCATGTATGCATGCTTACGGTGTCAGAGTTGTATCGCGTGTCTTTGACGCAATGCAATGCATGTCGCCGGGGCCCCGGGTAATGTGCTATTGTGCTTCGCTTTCGGTAAAGAAGGTTGCACTCGCAAGGTGGCATTGCATCCTCTTCATTTGCTTGCACGTGTGTTGCTGCATCAATCAATGTAGCACTAGTACAGGCTGCTTGTTCCGTAAGGTTTTTGCGGAAGCAGTGCAACAGAAGGGCTATTAGGTTGACCTAGATGGCCTGATGGCCGCCGTCCCTCATCTTCAAGTTAATGGGCCCAAATCCTGAACCATCTCTCTCTTCGGCTTGGGCCGATGTTCATCCCTTACTATTTCTTTCCAACTTCCTCTATTACCTTTTGCAAAAAAAATTAAAAAAAGAGCTAATCGGATATATGCCAATACAAATATCGTGCTTCCGAGGTATACAGTACTATTCACAGTGTTGGGAGAGTGCCATTATAATTTCATACATCTTTGAAATATACCAGTGCTTACCCCTTTGATGCATTTATCACAATTTCTATACCAAATTGCCCTCATCTCTTTCCAAAGAACCCGACGCAGCAACCACGGGTGACGCTAGCTCAGTCCCCACCATCATAGACGCCAGTGACAGCGAGGCGACCGTGCCGAGCAAGTCCGTGAGCCACTGCCCCTGAGCCCTCGCGCGCAGCTCCTCGTCGCCTCACATGTAGGTTGTAGGGTCGTCTGCCGCCCCTGGTTCGACTGCTCCACGTACAGCCGAAATGGAGTCCATAATCCATGCGGAGCAGGAATGGAGTCCGCCGTCAGCAGCTACTACCCGTGCAGCCGCAATGTATTTGTCTTTAGTCGCCACAAGGCGAAAGCGCTCCCGCTCCACATCTATCCATGGAGGGGGGAGGCGTACATACGTCAGCTAGCTCTAGCGGCCTCTGGATCACGATCAGGCAGGTGCAGTAGGTGACATGACGCCAACGTGGCTCATTTCTATTCGGCTGATGGTTTTTTGGCTGATAAATCGACTAATGCTGTTTTGTTGTGAGAAAAAAAAACATTATACCATGACTGATAAGCCGGACTGATAAGTTCAAGCGGACATTACAAGGTTCGAGCTCTCGGCACGTACACACCGTACGCAAGCAACATGAAGCGATGAGCGTCTCTCTCTAGTCAGGGCAACGGCGGCAGCTAAATAGCTAAGGTTGTTCCAGGACGCACACGCGCGTGCACCGGTGCAGGGCTGTAGGCACATGACGCCAACGCGCGCTCGCTGCACGGCGCGACGCAAACGAGCGAGTCCAGTATGTGCGTGAGTGCGGATAGAATTGACAGGTTCATCTGACATAGATCTAGCATGTATACTGATATTTGGGATAAATAGCGAGTCCTAAAATATAAAGTAGTGCAGGATTTATAGATAGAGCGAGAGAGAGGGGGTTTACGGAGATGCAAACCATCGGCCGCCTTCATAGAAGACGAGCTGGTCATAGAGTCGCTTGTCGGTGACGCGGTGAAGCCCGGCGGTGAAGACGCTGTCGCTGTGGCGGCGGTGGCCGGTGGTATATTTCAGAGATATGTGAAATTGTAATGGTACTCTTTCAATATCGTGAATACAAATGGTATATCTCCAAAATGCGATATTTGTAATGGCATGTATCCAATTAACCCAAAAAACAAACTCCAGTGTTTGATTTCATTTCGATATTATTGGATGGGTTGGAGTAGTACTTTTACGATAATGATACACAGCGGGCGCCCGGACGGACCTGACCCGCCCGACCCGACTCACCCGTGCCGCACGCCGCCTCACGCACTCCACCTTATCCTTCCTCGACCGCTCACTCCCGTAGCGCTCGCGTCCCTCCCCATTCTTATCCTTTCGTGTCCCGCGCCTACACCCGACGATGCGGGCATCGCTGCTTCCTAGCCGGCGGCGGCTCCTTCCCTCATCCCCAGCGTCCTCCTCCCCACACCAGCGGCCTTCTCCCCCACCTCGGCACTCGATGTGGAAGAGGTGGCCGCACCGCGACAGCGCGCGGGCCGTCATCGTCGATCGTCCCGGCGATCCTCGTCCCCCTGCCCCTCCCCTATGTTCCTTGACCCCTGGCGGCTCCCTCCCCCACCCCGACGTCCTCCTCCCCCACCTCGGCGGCGCCCCTCCCCCCACACCGGCGTCCTCCCCCATCGGGAGCCCCCAATTACTGCAGATTCGGTGGCCATGGCACTCCTCGCGCCAGTCTCTCTGTCCTCCTATGTTGTAATTGTATGTTTCAATTGTTTCAAGAGTTTCAGAGGTATGTTACGTTTGTTTCATATGGATGTTGCAAAAGTAGATCGGGAGATGTTGCAATTGTTTCAGAGAAATGTTGCAAGAGTATGTTTCGAGTGTTTTAAATGTTTCAACGGTATGTTTTATCTATGTTTTCTGGACGCATGTTGCAATTGTGTGTTATCTGGATGTTGCATATATTTTACTCATATGTTGCATGAGTTTTATTCGGATGCATGTTGCATATGCAGTGATTTTCAAGTGTGTTTTTCAAGTGTTTTATAAGCATGTTTGAAGTGTTTGAACCGCCTTCACACGTATATTGCAGCCATTGTATTTTGATGTTTCAAAAGTGGCAAGGCATCCATACGAACGAGGGATGGACTATGGGCGACGCTGTCTCTGGAGCGGGATGGGCGCTGGGCGGAGGGCCACGTACGTCGCGGTTGGGAGCAAGGGGCGGAGGTGCGTGGTGACGTGGGTGCGGCGGGCACTCTCTCCTATTGCGCGATTGGATTTGATTTTTTACGTGAGGGAGGGCGGGCGGTTGAGTCGAACGGAGGCGCGTCAGAATGCAGGCCTAGGGCCGGACGTACTAGTACTCATATTTCAGTGGTAGTACCAGTAGATACAAAATTAGAGATGTAGTAATACTTGGATTTGGAAAAAAAAATACATTTGTAACGGTAGTAATTTCGAGATTACCAGTGCTGCTACAAAAGCAAACAGAAAGCCACAGAAGAGGCCAAATGGTCGACAGAAACAATGTTTTCCCCAGCCGCACGAACAGAAAGGCCACTTTTCACATCGTGGTCCGTGCAACGGGTGCAAGCTAGAAAGGCCTGCCCGTGCAGTTCCGACCCACCATTTTACACTACACTACACCTACGCTACGCTACGCTACTCTCCCACCCACACGGCCACGCCCATACACACACACAGGCCGAGAGGCCGCGCACCAAGAGGGCCGCGCCCAAACTAGCTAGGCGCCAAACTTGCCGTGCACCCGACAAGGTCCGGCACGAGATCTACCACGGCTCCTAGAGAGACGACGACGAGGCCATCAAAACCAATCAGCCACGTCGGCACGTCGCGTCGCGTCCCGTCGTCGGCCGGGACCGGCGCACCAGTCAATCATACAGCAGCGACGCACGTTGGGCGTGTCGGACGAGACGAGGACGTGCACCTGCTCTGCTCCCCGCGACCGCCGCCGGCACGCGGCACTCCACTCGTGCGGCTGGCGGGTAGCGGGTAGCAGCTGGCTCCCCTCACGCCGGTGGTCACGGGGTTTTCCCCGCCGACCCCGAGAAGGAGACGCGGCCGAAGCCCCAGTGGCCGACCCGGTACATCTCGTCCAGCCACGCCAGCTCTTCCACCTCGGCCTGCTGCATCTGCTGCCGCTGCTGCTGATGCACCGGCGCGGCTGCCGCGCCGACGGTGGCGTGGTCATCGGCCACGTCCAGCAGCGTCCCGCTGCCCGCGCCGGGCACGGCCCCCGCCGCCTTGGCGCCCTTGGCGGACGCGGAGGAGGCCGCGACGTCGCGCACCCGCTTCCTGCGCAGCAGCGACCGCCTGCGCCTCCGGAGGCGGCGGCCCACGGCGAGCGGCGCCCTGACGAGCGCCAGCCCCAGCAGGGAGACGACCGCGCACGGGCAGCACCCCAGCGCGACGCAGTCCGCGATCGCCGCCGCCGCGCACGACCGGCACCTCCACCCCGCCCGCCCCGGCACCGCCGCGGACGGCTGCTGCTCCCCGTCGAACCAGCGCCCGCGCCTCGGCACCGCCGCAGCCGACGCCACCACCGCCGCGCGCTGCTGCTGCTGCTGCTGCTGATGCTCCTCCCCCCTCCCCCTGCCCATCATCGCACAGCAGCGCAGAGGCATGCGCGGCCGGCACACGCAGTGAGCGAGCGAGCGAGGTCGGCTCGGGAATTGAACCGAAACGCCTGCCTCGGTCGAATGAGATCGCGACACGACGCGGCGAGCGTTTTGTAGATGGGTTTTTGTAATGTTTCTGGGCCACGTACGACGACCGCGCGAGCTGCCGCAGCGCGTGCCCTGCGAGCCCGCGGCCCGCAGGCGGGTAATAAAAGGAGAAAAAAAAACACCCATCTCGCCTGTGTTACCGCCGCTGCGCCTGACAGTAAAACTAAGGAACTGGACACGCACAGGCTGGCCAGCCTCGCACGCCGCCCACGGACCGGAAACGGCAGGCGGTGAGACGCACCGCGCATTCTGCCCGCCGTCACCATTTCGCGGCAAGAAAACAAGCGAGAAGAGACACCACCACCAAGAGCGCGCGACCGAATTTATTACTCGTCGCCGGGCGATCGATGGTGACAGTGAGGTAACTTTTTTATTACAGCTGGATGATGGGATGGGTGACTCACTCTACAGGCGACCATACACGGAACGGTGATCGCCGCGGGCAGGCGGAGGACAGGTAGCCACAGTGCTCCGAAACTGCAAAGCCCTCTCTGGTGGCTGGAGCTTTCGCTCTCACGCTAGTACTGGCTTTTTTTGGGGGCGGGTACCCATACCCACTCACTGCCCACCCTCACCCGTGAGTGAAGAGTGAAGAGCTAGCGAGACGGCCGGCGGGCGGCGTTTTCATCCATCCAGTTCCAGTCTACTGTCACACTGTGCGGCCGGGGATGCATGCATGCACTGCACGGCAGTGGGGTTGTACAAATGGAAACTGTAGCAGCCAACGCATCGCGATCTCGTGTCTGATTCTGTGCAGTCACAGCAGGGAGAGATGGAGGGTGGACGGACGAGTGGTTTGCTTTGCTAGCTCGCGTTGCAGTTGCAGCGACCGTAGTAATAACCGCATCACATGCCTGCGAGTGCGATGCAGTGCACGTGCCCGTGAGAATTGAAAAAGAGAACAACAACGGTGTCCCTTGGTGGAGGTGGAGGCAAGAGATCGAAGAGTTCAGGCTTCACTCTTCAGAGAGACAGTTCGGTGCTTCGGTGTGTGAGGAGGACCCGAGAGCTAGCTGCCTGGACTGCGCTGTGGGGTGCCTGCAATTTCACCGGCACTTTTGGGACAAGGCTTTGGGATGTGAAGATGAAGAGTACTTGCATTATTGATCAGAAGGCGACAGGTGCAAGTGATGACGCGAACGCTCGGTTCTTTTGCGGAATGGCTCGTCTATCGGGTGTATAAGTTTTCAAATTAACGTAGATGTTCATATTATTCTAGTTTTATTTGACGGCAATAAAATTTAGACGACTTGTCCATCGACCGCGAGGAGTCTGTTGTCTCTAGTCTTGTAGAGATATTCATATATATAGAGGTACGTCGATTAATTGTTGTGCGTATGTTCACACGTAGTTAGCATGTATAAGTGTCTACATCTATATTATACTGTATGTAATAAAAAAGAGTAAATGCTCCATTACTATATACTATAATTTTAGAAAAGAGTAAGCAATGACCATCAGTAACGTCTAGCGCGTCGTCATGCGCTACTGGAGCTAGCAAATGCGGACAAGCAAGACGGACGGCAAGAGAAGTGGTTGCAGGGGCAGGCGGCAGAGACGGGAACGCATCAGTGCACGTGGAGAACGTGTCGGAATCTCGTGCCGATGGTCTGACTGGTCGTAGGAGAACATGGTACTGTTCTTCCGCCCTGTTGCTGCAACACAAAATGCATTGGCCTTGGCCTGTTGCCCACACACACCAGCTTGAGTCGTTCTGGCTACCAGCATCTGCATCTACTCATGTGATCGAGAAGAACTACCATAAAACACATGCATCTAGTGTACTTATGTTTGGCTACCAACATCTGCTGCATCTAGAGAACAAAGCAGCAGCAGAGTACTACTGCTGGGAAAATAGGAGTATGGAGCTGGACCGACACAAAATGCACGCGTGCTTGAGTACCAGCATGCAGACGTTCCTGCTAGTACCTCATCAAGACACCAGCGATACCTTTTTTAAAAAAAAAAAAAAACAGCTACCTGATGAACCCTAGCACTAAGCACACAGCTGATTGATGGAAAAAGGCACCGGCCCGAGCCCGATGGATGCTCAGCACGCGACCCTCCTGATTGATGGAAAAAGGCGCGCAACAGAAGCAGGGCCCATATGCATGAACAGCTTAGCTATGCTATATATACGTACACCATCCAGTTGACGTGAGAAGATATCTACTACTGTAGTCTACATCAGCAGCAGTACGTACGTAGTACAGGTACAGCACCAGTTCTCCATACCCGCCGCCACGTGTTCTCAGTTCATCAGTTGCGCTGCATGCAAGCTGCTACATGATCATATCATGCATGATTATTTCATGACCAGTATAGCCCTGTTCGGCTTACCCCATATTAGGTTTCTTCGGTTTTTTTTAGCTAGAATAGTGTTTCTCTCTCCCAACAATTTCAGTCGGAACCATGTTTTTCAGCCAGTTTCAGTTAAGTTTCAGACCAGCGAACGGGGCCATATGTATAATAATATAGTCATGCAAGCCCTCGGCGATGCATACACACTACCACCACTACTACGTGATAGGACTAACAGGATCCACTAGCTATAAATCTAGCATGTAGATCTAACATTAGAATACAATAGTAAACCCTAAAACATAATCTAGTGCGAGCAAACAGAGAGAGATGCGGGGTGGCAAACCATCGGTCGCCTTCGCAAAAGACGAGCTGGCCATCGCGGTGTTTGTCGGTGAGGCGGTGAAGTCCGGCGGTGAAGGCGCGGTCACAGTGGCGGCGGTGCAGAGGCGTAGGTGGCCGGTGGCGGTGTTTCCTGTCGCTGGCAGTGCCCCCTCTCTAGATTGGCTAGGGTTAGGATGTAGGTGGGGTTTCTGGCAACGCAGGTGAACCTCGTGCCTTGTGCCCTGGCTCTCACCGTCCTTTTTATGACGCTGTGCGATGGGGCCCACCAACCATAGAACGGTTGGGCGCCTCCGATCAGGGCATGGATCAACGGCCCAATTTGCCGTTGGGCCAAGTTGGTGGAGAGATCAATCTCACATTCTCCCCCATGATCTCACCTTATAACTTAAACTCAACTTACTTTACATTGTTCCCATTCCATCATAGATCAGTGCATAGAGCGTGCCTCATCGTCACGGTCAGTTGCCATTAGATTAAACAGCTACAATGTACCTCTCTGTTATGAAACAGATTCTCAATTAGGCCCTCATTGTCCAGAAATCATAGGCTTTCCCTTAAACCCATACCAGCTAAGCGTTCTCTGAACACGTTGGGTGGTAAGCCTTTTGTAAGCGGATCCGTGAGCATCTTTTCTGTTCTTATATGCTCAAGACTAATTATATGATCCCAGATTTTATCTTTCACAACATAATACTTTATGTCAATGTGTTTGGCAGCACCACTTGACTTATATTGTGAGCATAACAAACTGTTGGATTATTATCGTAGTATAACTTCAGTGGCTTATGTATGTCGTCTACCACTTTCAACCCCGGCATGAATTTCTTCAGCCAATTCACCTGCCCTGTGGCCTCATAACATGCTACAAACTGGGCATACATTGTGGACGATGTAGTGACGGTTTGCTTTGAGCTTTTCCACGATATAGCTCCTGATGTAGACTAGGCCCGATCTTCCGAAAGGTATGATAGCGTCGATTGGTGGAGACTCGACGTTCACGATCTAGGCTTCGAACCAAGACTGATTCGGACCCCCGCAACCGTTACACCACCGCTCCGTTGGTTATCAACCACGTGAACGCGATTGACCTCGCCGAGAAGGCTTTCCTACAAGCGAATCGAGAACACAAGCAAGAACGGAATGAACGCAATCTGAAATTGCAAATAAATATGAGGCTTATGAAAATAAGAAGGAGTTCAAGTCTTTATTCGAAAGGACTAATCGCCACAGGCGAACAAGATCAAGAACTGGGGCCCTGGTTCACAGCAAGCGGCCTTGGCGGCGATAGTTGCAGCAAAACGATGTCTGTTTCACGAAGAAATCAAGAACTAAACAAAACCCAAACCCTAAGGAGAGCGACGGCTGGTATTTATAGAGTCTTGGACGTCACCCCCCTAGACGCACCCCCTAATGGGCCCAAACACGATACATGGCCCAACAGACCAAAATACGGTGTCGCAGCACCCTGACAGATTCTGGACGCTGACTTGTTTCGACGATTTCCGTTGATTCCGAAGAGCTTTAGACGTGAAACCACTTGGATTGGATTCCTTATCCAATTAGCTTTCCATCCATATGTGGATCATCGAAAACGGAGTCTGGATGTGTCCTGGGTGACCAGTTTAAGGCAGACTGGTCCTGGAGGCCGAGATGGACTCGAACTTGATTTGGGCCTCCACCTTGGTGACTCGAACTGGATAAGCTTCGGGCCTCCTTCTCGCTTAGGACACCCTCGCTGATCTCCTTGGTCTCATATGGTTCTTCAAGCATGGTCATATGTATGGAGGTCATGTCCTCATCATCCTCCCTTTCTTGACGAAAAGCCGTCTTCGGCGTTGATTTTGATTGAAGTCGATCCTGCACAACATGAGGACAAACGAGGTTTCCAAAATAATAGGAAGGGACGATGTTGTGAGAAAGAATATGACCACATGTCCAGGTTTGTAGCATGTCTTGTCCTACAGACATGTAGTCTGCTCGATTGAAATACACACGATCTTTGTAAATACTATCCTGTAAAAGATTAGTACTAACAAGAAACATATACTCCCTTTCTTTGGATTCCACTTGTGTTCGAAAAGCAAAACTAGAGGAATATGGCATAATGAAAGTGTTGACTTTACTGTCCTCTAGTTGATCATTACTTTGCACAACAAAAGGAGAATTCAGATTTGTACAAATGTAAACTCGTTGTATCAAATATTGCCCTTGGTTGTTATATTTACCAAAAACATGATATGTATGTCTAGAGA